TGTGTGTGTGTGTGTGTGTGTGTGTGTGTGTGTGTGTGTGTGTGTGTGTGTGTGTGTGTGTGAGTGCACAGCCCTGTGGGAGGTAGATGCCAGGAATCCTCTCTTCTTCGACCTTCCACCTTACTCACTGAGGCAGAGTCTCTCACCGGCCTGGCTACTCGTGTTAGCCGGCCTGCTCTGAGCACTGCCCTCTCTGACCTTGGAGGCTGGAATTACCCGTCGGCCGCAGTGTCTCCCTGGCCTTTCCATGGGCTCTGGGGACCAGAACTCTGGCCTTCATACTTGTGTGGCAAGAGCTTAGCTGCCCGCCCCTCACGCATGTTGGGTAAGTGCTCTGGCCACTTATCAGCACCCCAGTCCTGTGAGTCTTATCGAAGGATGCTGAGAACACTTTTGCGTGGAGACAGGGCAGGGCAGCCGCACTGGCCATTTGTCTGCAGCGCCACAGAACTGAACACCACCAGTAAATTTCTTCTGCCCTTACATTTTAAAAATAATTTTTAAAGATTTGTGTGTGTGGGTGTTTGCCTGCCTATATGTCTGTGCACCACATGCATGCCTGGTGCCCTCAGAGGCCAGAAGAAGGTATCAGATGGTCTTGGATGACCTGCTTTGAGAAGCTAGACTGTTTAATTTCCTCCACTGCTCTAAGGCTTACAAGATACCCTGAGACCGATGCTGAAGGAGGGCCTTACAGCTTTAGAGGAGGGAGACCTGAGCACAGCACCTTGATGAACACAATCTAAGACACTAAGAACCACCCTTTCTTTCTTTCTTTCTTTCTTTCTTTCTTTCTTTCTTTCTTTCTTTCTTTCTTTCTTTCTTTCTTTCTTTCTTTCTTTTTTCTTTTTTCTCTCCTGGTTCTGGAGTTGCACATGGTTGTGAGCAGCCATGTGGGTGTTGGAATCAAACCTGGGTCCTCTGGAAGAGCAGCCAGTGCTCCTAACCACTGAGCCATCTCCCTAGTCCATTTCACATCTTCAGTATTTGATTTTCTCCCTTGGAGATGTTTTTGTTTTTTATTCTCATTTTACCTTTGTGGATCTGGTTCGTATTGCTTTCTAGGTTCTGTTCTACTTTAAATGTATCCAGCAATTTCCTGCCAATCAAAGCTTAAAACATTATATTATTATTATTAATTGTTTTTGTGACAGGGTCTCATTGTATGGCTCTGGCCAACCTGGAACTTACCACTTAGACTAGGCTAGCCTCGAACTCACATGAAATGTACTGTCTCTGCCTCCCGAGTGCTGGATTAAAGACATAGCACTTTACCAGATGTTACCTGCTGTATCTAACTCTAGCTAACTACTCTCCCAAATTCCTCCTCTGCCAGATGACAGGCGTGGATTAAATGCTCACTCATCAAGTGATGTATGAGCGATAAGGTCCCCAGCTGGCCTCAAACTTGCTGTGTAGCTGAAATGAACCCCCCTCCCCGTCCCCCATTC